AAAAATGTATTAGACAAATCACAACTGAGAGACATTCTACAAAATACTTGACAAGAACTCAAATTATTAAGATAATCAAATATGTGGGAGGTCAGAGAAACCGCCACACACCAGTGGAGGCTGAGGAGACATGACAGTTAAATGCAATATGGTATCTTGAATGAAACTGTAGGGGTGTAAAGGGTTTGATGCCTTTCCTCCTTTATGAGAGACAGTCATAATAAAAGATAGGTTAAAGAGAGAAAAACAGCAATTTTGATCAGTTTTGTGTGACGTGGGAGACTTCCAGCTGAATACACAAAGACCTATAGTGAACTTGAACTAGAGTGTGAAGCATGAATGACTGGGCAGAAAAATGACTGGACAAAAAGAGGATGGGCTACTAGCAGTAGACTGAAGGGCATGTGGAAGAACCCAGCAATGCTTGTCTGTTCAGACTCTTCTTGGCCTGGGTAGCATTTCTTCCTTCCAGGTATAGGGCAGGATCTTCTCTGTTCTACAATCAAACGAGGTAGGATAGAGAATTTCCTTATGGTCAGTTCTTAAACAGAAAGGCAGGGAAGAGTTAGGAGTAGCAATTCCAGGTTTTTATGACTGGCGTTGGGGAACAGTGGTCTTGGTGTTTACGACCACCTTGGAGAAGAGGTATCCTTATTTCTATGGTTTGTTTTGGGAGAAAGTGAGGATGAGGAACAGAAGGGCAAAGAAGGTCACTTTGGGTATCATTTTCTAAGCCTCAATAGGAGGAAGAGGACCATAAAAGAATATTAGGGAAAAATTGGTGGAATTTGAGAACACATGGTTAGTTAATAATGTCTGAGTATTAGTTATGAAGAAGGTTCCACAGTAATGTTAATGGGGACACTAGGAGAGGAGTACAGAGAAACTATTATTGTAATTTTCTGTAAATCCATTCCAAAATAAAAATTTTAAGAGGATTCTAGGTTACCTTCCTTTTTATTGATACTTTTCTGAAAATTAAGCATGCAAAAGAGTTGCTTTTCAGCTCTCACTTCCCTTTCAGCACTGAGCAATAAGATCAAGTTGCATCAAGCTGTCAGTCATGAAGAAGGAGAAAACAGATTCCATAGCTGCTGGCATCTTTTGGCTAAGAGCAACAATCCAGTCTCTAATGTGTCAGCCATGGTAGTACAATACAACCCTCATCCAACGATGGGCTCTTACTTCTGGCTTTTGTCGTTGGCAGTGATGCCACTAAACTAACTGATAACAACTTAGTGTCAAAGAAATACCTAATTTCCAATTAATGCTAATGATACAATTTTTCCTATCATTATCCCTTCATACAATATAAGGGATAGGGACTCGATAAATTTTTCTCAGGGATTCAACATATGGATTGTCCTCATGCTGAACCTATCAGATCAATTTCAGGATTGAAATTTTTAGTGATTCAGGTTTTAAGCGTGACTGTTTATTCTCTTCTCTGTACTGAGCAACCACATAGTCTAAATTGATGACAGCTTCATCAAGTGTTTTCTTGACTAAGACTGTACTAACTTTTGTTTTACCAAAAGTGAGTCTGCTTTCCAGAATGAGTGCTGTGCTCTTGTCATGAAGTAGCCCTTTTCATTCCAACTCCAAAACCTGCTCTCTTAGCTTGGTAGGAACACCACTACCTTGGAAAGCACAGTGCAAGCAGGCATCATGACACTGGAAAACAAGATCCTAGGCAAGATGCTGAGGCAGGACACATTCAAGGGCTTGAGAAGATGACTTGTTTTATAAACATTCAGTGCAAAATGAATCACTAGAGCAGGATAAACTTAATGTCCTCTATACCCTTCCCCCCCAAAAGTATGCAAGAATCAATACCACCACCACTACCTCCAGTGCACCTGTGCACACACACACACACACATATACACACAAGAATGCTTGGGAAATCTCAGGGATATCAAGGTTCCTATAAAAACAGGGCAAGACATATTTAGCCATACCAGGGGGGGCAAAAATCTAGCAGCAAGTTGAAGGAAACTAACAGAGGGCACAGTTGCCCAGAAAAGAAAGTAGACATGCCAAGAGCAAGTTTGGCTCCCACTCAAGTTCACCAGTAATGTCATGTTTACAGACTCATACAGACTTTCACATCACTCAGTGACTTTTCATAAATATTTATTGCTGTTATCCACAGACTTTAAGCTATTCCTTTATTTAAAAAACTTCACATTCTAACGTGAGTTTGTCTATAGGTATTTTCTTATCTTTTTCTATAAAATTTTTGATATTACATAAATAGAAGTTTTCGTGGGTGAAGATTTTATTTTCTTCAATTCTGAAACTGACACTTCCTCAGGAAAGAAATTTCTAAAAGCATTCAATATTTGTTAAAAATCATTTATTCAAAATATAAAATTTTATCCTAATTATTTGATGCTTAATGCAATTAATTTTGTTGTGAAGGCTTTTGTGGTTTTCCTTGAAATATCTCTGACTTTAGTGAAGGCTTCTGATCATTCAGGATGTTGACAATTTTCTTCTTCATGTGAAGTCTCTGATATACAATAAAACTGATTTCTAATAGTTCTTCTGAAATGTATTATGTCAATAGGATTTCATCCCAGTCTAATAGATAGACAGTAAAACAATGTATTTAACTAATAGGTCAAATCTGAGAGCTCAATGGAAAACAAATTTAATTCTTGCTTGAAAACAAACAACTGATGATGATCTGGAAGCAGAGAATTATATTCCAAACAGTTATCCAGACTCCAGGTTCCTTTGACTTTGTGCTCCACCACATTCAACACACAAAAGTCAACTTGCTGCGGAAATCATCTCAGTCCCATCTTACCATGGACCAGGAAGACTATAAGATGCTTAAGGGCCAGGACTAAATGTAATAGATATCATTAGCATCATATTCTTTGGTCAGCCCACCTGGATGAATGAGATTGAAATTTTCAACAAGCTATGAGCTTAATGGAAAAGGAAAATGTTAAGGAAAACAATTTTCCAGTCTACATGACAAGAGTTTCTCTGCTGTGTGGTATAAAATAAGGTATGCGTTGATTCAGGACTTCTCAAATTCATGAAGTTTTAGGGTTTTCTCTCTGGTATGCATTCTGATGTGATGTACTATAAGAGCTGCCTTATGAACAAAAATTTTCCTACATTCACCACATTCATAGGGTTTCTCCCCTGTGTGAATTCTCTGGTGTACTCTGAGAGTTGAGAGGTAAGAAAAACCTTTCCCACATTCATTACACTCATAGGGTTTCTTCCCTGTGTGAGTCCTCTGGTGTGCATTGAGGTGTGACTTTTGGGAGAAAGTTTTCCCACATTCATTACATCCATAGGGTTTCACACCTGTGTGAATTCTCTGATGCACTCTAAGGGATGAGTTAAGGGCAAATGGTTTCCCACATATATTACATTCATAGGGTTTCTCCTCTGTGTGGACTCTCTGATGCGCATTAGCATATGACTTTTCAGAGAAAGTTTTCCCACATTCATTACATTCATAGGGTTTCTCCCGTGTGAGTCCTCTGGTGTGAACTAAGGTGTGACTTCCGGGAAAAAGTTTTCCCACATTCATCACATCCATAGGATTTTACACCTGTGTGAATTCTCTGATGCACGCTAAGGGATGAGTTATAGGCAAATGGTTTCCTACATATATTACATTCATAGGGTTTCTCCCCTGTGTGAATCCTCTGGTGTTGCCTAAGATTTGACTTCTGGGATAAAGTTTTCCCACATTCATTACATTCATACAGTTTCTCCCCTGTGTGAGTCCTCTGGTGAGCTTTGAGGTGTGACTTGTGGGAGAAAGTTTTCCCACATTCATTACATTCATAGGGTTTCTCCCCTGTGTGAGTCCTCTGGTGTTCACTAAGGTGTGAGTTGTGGGCGAAAGTTTTCCCACATTCATTACATTCATAGGGTTTCTCCCCTGTGTGAGTCCTCTGGTGTGCACTAAGGTGTGACTTCCGGGAGAAAGTTTTCCCACATTCATTACATCCATAGGGTTTCACACCTGTGTGAATTTTCTGATGCTTTCTAAGGGATGAGTTAAGGGCAAATGATTTCCCACATATATTACATTCATAGGGTTTCTCCTCTGTGTGAACTCTCTGATGTGCATTAGCATATGACTTTTCAGACAAAGTTTTCCCACATACATTACATTCATAGGGTTTCTCCCCTGTATGAGTCCTCTGGTGTCCACGAAGGTGTGTCTTCCGGGAAAAAGTTTTCCCACATTCATCACATTCATAGGATTTCACACCTGTGTGAGTTCTCTGATGCACTCTAAGGGTTTTGTTAAGGGCAAATGTTTTCCCACATATATTACATTCATAGGGTTTCTCCCCTGTGTGAGTCCTCTGGTGTGCCTTAACTTCTGACTTCCGGGAGAAAGTTTTCCCACATTCATTACATTCATAGGGTTTCTCCCCTGTGTGAGTCATCTGGTGTTCCCTAACTACTGACTTCCGGGAGAAAGTTTTCCCACATTCATTACATTCATAGGGTTTCTCCCCTGTGTGAGTCCTCTGGTGTGCACTAAGGTGTGACTTCCGGGAGAAAGTTTTCCCACATTCATCACATCCATAGGATTTTACACCTATGTGAATTCTCTGATGCATTCTGAGGGCTGAATTATGGGTAAAAGTTTTCTCACAGTCACTGCATTCATAGGGCTTCCTACCTGTGTGAATTCTCTGATGTGCTCTTAGACCTGAAGTGAAGGTAAAAGATCGCCCACATTCATCATATTCAAAAAGTTTGAATCCCACATAAGCTCCAGAATGCTGAATAGATTGTGAACTTGTACAAAAGGATTTCCCATGTTCTTCATATTGAAGTTTCTCCCCTGAATGGGTCCTCTGATAGTGAATGAAGTGTGCTTTCTGTTCTTTACTCAATGTTTTATCATTGTCATCAATAAATATTACTTGACACAGAGGCTTCTTTTGTTTTTCCTGGATCTCTTGTGTGTTGTCATCAATTTTATAATATCCTAAAATGAAAAAAAATGAAAACATATTATAAATCTTACATTTTTCATGGAGGGGGACTAGTACTCATGTTTTGTTATGTATTTTAATCTATTGTTTCTGGTCATGTTTCCAAAGACAAAAATGCACACAGACTGATACTCTTTCTTGTTCCTCAAGCATAATGCTTAAAAAAATGGGATTATTTTCATCCAAGACGGAGTAGTCCCTTTCCTCCCAGATCTTCCTTCTTACAATTAAAAATCCTTACCAAAAAAAAAAAAAAACATGAATAAACATACAAAGACTCTACAAAATAGAAAAATGTGAACCTCAGGACTTCAGAAATGACACAGCAGAGAAATCCAAATCTTTGCTTTCTGCTTCCCATATATCCTAGAGTGCTGAAGAAACCTACAATCTGGAACCAGCAACAAAAAGAGTTCCAAGAAAAAAAAGCGTTTCTTCTAGCCAAAAGTACTTTAACAGAACTGAAAACATGTTTGACAACATCCACATAGTCTTGCAAAACAAAAACGGAATGCTTCTGTGGTTCCATGAAGGCTGATCAAGAAGCTAACCTTCCACTGCAATGAATACAGACTATCTGTGTGCTCATGTAATATTTCCCCCTCCATGAGCTAAATGGGGAACTCACAGAAAAGATCATAAAGGATCCTGAGAAAGTTCCACTTTCGGGATATGCTGGAAGATGTAACAGGAGCTGCTGCCAAAATTCTGCCTAGAAATATATATTCTTATTGGCCAGGATTGGTAGCTTAGCCTGTAATCCCAGCACTTTGAGAGGCCGAGGCAAGTGGACTGCCTAAGCCTGCAGGATCGAGACTAAACTGGGCAACTTGGCGAGACCTCGTTCAACAATAAATAAAAAATTAGTTGGTAGTTGTAGCACCTGTACTTTCGGCTACTTGGAAGGCTGAGGTGGAAGGATTGCCAGAGCCTAGTATGTCAATGCTGGGGTGGCCTGGACGACTGAGACTCCAACTCAAAGAAAAAAGAAATATATTCTTATCTAATTTATGGAACAAATATATTCATCTGTAAGGGCAAGAACAACAAATCTGCTGTTTTAGGCCACTAGCAGTCACTCATAGCAGCTAGAGGAAGAAAAGCAGCACAGAAACAGGAGAAGAGGCAGGAATACCTGGTAGGCCCAACTATAGAGAGAAGAGATAAAGTAGCACTTGTGATAACCACACCTTCAAACTCAAGGAAACAGTGCTTTCTACAACAGCTAAACTCACATTTTCTCAAATGTACACAGAACATTCATCAAAATACAATGCATTCTTGGCTGTTAGACAAATCTTCACAAATACAGAACAGAAATCATACAAAAGATGTTCTTGAGCTACAGAGAAATTATATTAGAAATTAATAAACACTTTTTCACTTGGAGAAATACAAAATATTTATAAATGATATTCTTCGAATTTACCCATGGGTCAAAGAAGAAGGTTCAAATAAGATATTTTGAAGTGTATGAAAACAACAAAAAAATACAGAAATTTCTGAATGCAACTAAAGCAGTGCTCATACATAAATATGTGGTTTAAAATTTTTATATTTGAAAAGAGAGATCTCCGGATACTTAAGTTCCCACTTTAAGAAACTAAACAAAAAGAGATAATTAAATCTAAAGCATGTAACGGAAGAAAAATGTAAAGATTAGACAATAAAACTGAAAACAGAAAACAGCAGAGAAAATCAAACCAAAGCTTAGTTACTTATAAAGATTTTTTTCCAATGATAAGCAGAAAAAAAAAAAAAGAGTCACAAATTCTCAATATCAGAAATGCAAGAGGGGAAATACTGACACAACAAACATTCAACAGATAAAACAACATGAGTGACTATAACAAATTAAGGTGACTTAAAGAACAAATATTTATTTTTCTCCGTTCTAGAGGCTGGAAGTCTCAGGATAGGGTGCCAACACAGTTGCATTCGTGTGAGTGACCTCTTTGGGTTATAGACTATTCTTGTAACAGACTCACATGGTGGAAAGTAAGCTAGTTAGCTGTGGTATATTCTAGTGAGGGCATTTTAATCTATCTCTTTGTAACCAGAAAAGCAAACAACTGTATTTGAACACTCTAGAAAGAAGCAGTAGGAGAATATGGACAGTAACCAGAGGGAGTTTTTTGGATTCTTAGAACTTTATTCCTTTGTTTTAGAACACTGATATCATATTATTTGGTTCAGTAATTCAAATCCTTAAATGTTTTCTTTTACCTGTGCTCTCAGGCTAGACTTTAATGTACTTATTATCTGAATTCAAACCTGAATGACAACAGAACATGAAATCTAAATTATTTTACTTTTATTGACTAACAATTTTACCATTCTATTATAACAATTTTTCTAATTTTGTATTTAGAGATAGCTTATTTGGCCAGTCAATATGCTCTAATCATTTACATATAGTGACTGGGAGATATGCTTGATCTAAATTATGTCAATCTTTATGTAAAGCCATTTGTTTGTATGGCTTCACAACAAAAACTTACAATAGGTGAGCATCACTTCTAATAATTAAGATGATTTTACTTATTCTTCTATGAATTATATTGAAAACTATAACTTTTTAAAATTTCTGGAATCATTAGTATAGACAAAGGCTAAGATACTTATGAAAAGATGTTTGACATCATTAGTGACAAATAAACTGTTATGGACTGTGTCCCATCCCCAAATTCATATGTTGAAGAACTAACCTCCAGTAATACTGTATTTGAAGACAAGACCTTTAGGAGGTAATCTGGGTTAAATGGGGCCATAAGGATGAAGCCTCAATCCAGTAGCACTGGTGTCCTTACAAGAAAGGGAAAAAACACCAGGGTGCTCTCTCTCTCCCCCAGTGGCTACGCACAGAGGAAAGGTCATGTGAGAACACACCAAGAACGGTGGCTTGCTGCAAGCCAAGAAAGAGAGGCCTCACCAGAAACCAACTAATTGGCAACCTGATCTTGGATTTTCAGCCTCCAGAACTGAGAGAATTTCTATTGTTTAATCCACTCAGTCTGTGGTATTTTATCATGATAGCCCTAGCTGCCTAATAAAGAAAAACAAAGCAAAATCACAAGGAAATGCCACTTCACATCCACCAGGATGGCTGGAATCAAACAAATGTTGGTAAGAATATAGAAAAATCAGAATCCCTCTGGGCTGTTGTTAGGAATGGAAAAAGGTGATGTCATTTAGAAAAACAGCCTGACAGTTCCTTAATCAGATAAACAGAGGTACCACATGACTCAGAATTTTATGAATAGGCATAAAAACATATGTCCATGCAAAAACTTGTAAATGAATATTTATATCAACATTATCCATAATAGCCAAAAGTGGTAGTCCAAGTATCTACTGACTGATGAATGGAAACACAGGCAGTATATCCAAACAATGAAATAGGATCTGGCCATAAAAAGGATGAAACACTGACATATGCTGTCACATGAACCTTTTAAACATTAAGTTAAACAAAAGAAGCCAATCACAAATGACCACATGCTATATGATTCCATTTACACAAAATGTCCAGAATAGGCAGATCTGCAGAGACACAAGTAGATTAATGTCTAGTTAGACCTGGAGGAGCCAGGGATATAGAAGAGTGACAACTAAAGGATACAGATTTCTTTTTGAGGCGATGAGCTTTGTACACAGAGTCGTCCTTTGGAGGATTGGATCTACAACTCCTTTGAATACCAAATTCTATGGATGCCCAAGTCCTTGATATAAAACGGCACAGTATTTACATATAACCTATGCACATCCTCTGGTATATTATAAATCATCTCCATATTACTTATACTAGCCTCATAAAACAGAGACAGTAGACAGTTGTATACTATATTGTTTAGGGAATAATGACAAAAAAGTCTGTTCATTTTCAGTAGAGATGCATTTTTTAAAATAGTTTCAATCTATAATTGCTGGAATCCATGGATGCAGAACCCATAGATACAGAGGGCAGACAGCATGTATTAACACATTAAAAGCCATTGAACTATAACTTTGAATGAATTGTATGAGATGTGAATTATATCTCAATAAAGCTGTTACCCCCTCAAAAAAAACTTTTCAAGGTACTCTTCCACTAAGATCTAACTACCCCAAGGGGCTCCTTCTGTCAACACTCACTCACCTGGGTACTTCCGGTTTAGGAATTTGACTTCAAGTGGCCATGGTTCTTCTCCTTGCTCCAACTTGAGGATAACCTTGGGTTTGGTAATGCAACACCCTGTAATGAAATAATTGAGGGAGCACTTGGATAGAAAAAATGCAGCTATAAAAGCATTAACTGAGAATATTCATCTGGTGTTTTCGAAGAGAAGATAATGACAAAAATTGTTTTTGTTTCTGTAACAACTTCAATTACGAAGCCTTTAATCTCTATAAAGAATCTATGTGTCTTGATAATTTAAAAAAAAGCAAACATGCTACAGAAGGATTCCTGTGGCAGGTCTGCTCACCCACTGCAACGAGATGGCCGTAGTTCTCCAGCATCACGTCCCTGTATAGGCTCCGCTCCCTGGGACCCATCAGTCGCCACTCCTCCCAGGTGAATTCCATGGTCACATCCTCAAATGACACGGATCCCTTCAGCAACATATTTTGTTCAAGGTCTCAGAATTAGGTGACACAGAAAATACCTGAGAACTTTTCCTGTTTACTATTGAGGCTCAAAAACAGTTGGTTATAGAGGCTTATTTTGGACCAAATTTCATCTTAAAACTTGTCACTCAGCTAGTTTAAAAGGTTTCTAATTTACCATACCGCATCTATATAATTTATGAATTCCAGATGTTTTTAAGACAGAAAAATTCAATGTAATTAAACTTTCTACAACTCTTCTTGCACATTCCCAGGATGATTGTATTCTCTAGGAAGTTCATACCCTCCTTGAACATCATCCCTGTAAATACTGGGAACCAAGGAAGAAATACATGTGAGCGCTAGAGAGAGACCTGACCAAACTTATGTATAAGTAAATATATGAAAACAGAGAAATCTAGAGCTCATGAAGAACAAGGAACAGCTTACAAAGAAGTTGGAACCAATGAGACCATACTAAGAAAACACTATGTACACTGAAGTAACAGCAATCGACATAAGAATAGGATATAATCACAGAGCAGAAGCAGCAACCATCTGATGATTATTGCTTGAGGTAGCAACCTAGTCTAGCTGTGTGAGAAGCCGCTCTCTCTGCCTTTTTGTTTTATTTTGTTTCTAACTGACAGAAAGACAAATCTTTCAAAGAAGATCACTTATACATGGAATCTAAGACAGTAAAATGTATAGAAGTAAAGAAAGAATAGAATTGTAGTAACCCGAGTCTGGGAGAGAGGGGGAGAGGAACAGGAGATGTTGGTCAAAGGATACAAAGTTTCCATCAGACAAGAGGAACAAGTTTTCAAGATACTGCACAGTATGGTGACTCTAGTTAATAATAATATAATGTATGTTTCAAAATAATCAGCATCTTGATGGTGTCAAAAACTGACAATTGAGAAACAAAAGGAAAAACGTGTGAGATGTTTGAGTGAGAGATCTGTTCTGGTTGCTACAAAGGGGTGTGTGAGACATAAAGCTGGAACTGCCCTTTAAACAAATATACATGATTTCAGAGCACAGAAGGGAAGAGAAACACTTAGGAGTCATTAGCATTTTAGCTGGTAACTGAAGTTATTAGAGACAATCAGACAGCTCCTTGAGCACATTGGGATTAAGGAAAAAGTACCCAAACAAAAACACTTGAGGACCATATATATTAAAGAGGCTGGCAGAAGAAGTACAGGCAAGAAGTCAGAGAAGAAGGTTTCTGAAAGATAGTAATAGAATCCAGAGGATAAATTCTTAGAAAGTAAGAAAAGGGAAAGTTTCTATACCAAAAGACTTCAAATTCAAGCTAACAAGTGATATCAGCAAAAATACTGAAGTTGAGAAAATTCTCTCTTCCATAAAAGTAATGAGAAAATGGCAGCAATTACAGAATCAACTTTTTCTGCAAGCTAATCAAAGGCTTCAAGCAATCTATACAAGAATATTCATACCAAAAAAATTTATACATTATGCCTGTAATCCCAGAGGACTGCCTGAGCCTAGGGGTTCAAGAACAGCCTGGGCAACTTGGCAAAACCTCATCTCACAATAAATGAAAAAATTAGCTGGGCATGGTGGCACACACCTATAGTTTCAGTTACTAGGAAGACTAAGATGGAAGGATCGCCTGAGCCCAGCAGGTTGAGGCTGCAGTAGTCGTATCACTCCAGCATGGATGACACAGTGAAACATCAATTGAAAAAAAAATTGAAAATGTTTTTAAAAAGGCTGCAACATGGGGAGTACCATAGTTCCGCATCATCTTAACTTGTTCTATTTTCATCCAGCTCTCTCCAGTTCCACATAAGCTTTGAGAACCAATCATCTGAGATAAGAGCAAAAACCAGCAGCCTGGCAACTGCTGGAGGAGGCAGAAGTGGGTTCAAGTTGTCAAAGGCTTGTTCCCAGAAAACTGTCATTATTTGACCTAATAAGATGGTTCCCTTGAAGACCTTACTTGCAAGGCTGATTACTGAACTGACTCAGAGGTTTACCCTGGATGAAAAACCTGTGTTCCAAGGCAATAGTCAAAAACATACAAAGGTAGCTTTAACTTACCTGCTACCTGGGGTGGTGGATAAACAGTTGGGATAAGTAATCACCTAATAAAAAGCTTAAAAAGTTATTTAAAGGACAAGCTGGAGGATGAAATGTCCATAAAGGTTTTGAAAAACTCTGATATATCCCTGAGAATTGAGAAGCCCACCTATGTGTACTGAGCTGAGAATATGCCCAGCACTGTGATATGCTCAGGAAGGACATGAGAAGGCTATAAGCTGTCACTTCTGAGTGACCTTAAGGTTTGGAGAAAGCAGGAAGTGAAGACTAATACAGAGTAGTAAATGGCCTGGATGATTGTGGAAGAAATGCCATGGCACTCACAAGGCCCCTGCTAAAGACTGAGACACTTGCTTGGTTTCAGGCATATAAGGAAATTTCTGCAGAGACTTCAGCTGCCACATACAACAAATACAGGCACTACTGAATTTGTTTTTAAAAGTGCCTGAACAGGCCAAGCACAGTGGCTCATGCCTATAATCCCAGCACTTTGGGAGGCGGAGGCAAGAGGACTGACTGAACCTAGGGATTCGACCAGCCTGGACAACATAGCAAGACCTTGTTGCTACAATAAATCAAAAAATAAGCCGGGCATGGTGGCATGTACCTGTGGTGCCAGCTACTTGGAAAGTTACGGTGGAAGGATCACCTGAGCCCAGCAGATGGCGACTGTGGTGGCAGTGAACATGCCACCTCACTCCAGCCTGGCTGACAGAATGAGACTTCAACTCAAAAAAAAAACACTCACTGGACAAATTTCAACAACAACCCCTGGGAGGAGAGAAATTCTTCTAGAATTGCCATATTTTATTAAAATGTCCTGTTTTCAACAATGAAAATTATAAAACAAGGCCGGGTGCAGTGGCTCTGCTTATAATCCCAGCTCTTTGGGAGACTGAGGCAAGAGAATTGTCTGTGTCCAGGGATTCAACACCAGCGTGGGCTACTTGGTGACCTCGTCTTTACAATAAATCACAAAAACTAGGTTGGTGTGCTGCGTGCATCTGTAATTACAGCTACTTGGAAGGCTGTAGTGGAAGGACTGCTTGAGCCTAGCAGGTCGAGGCTGCAGTGGCCATGAGCATGCCACTGCACTCCAGTCTGTGTGGCAAAGAGTGAGACTCCAACGTAAAAAAATTACAAAACAAGAAAAAAAAAAAGTAAGACTGATATGCAGGAAAAAAGTAATCAACAGAAATTGCTCCTGAGGAAGCAGATATTGGACTTAACTAGACAATGACTTTAAATCAGTTATTTTAAATATGGTTAAGGACCTAAAGGAAATATCTAAGGACTGAAGGGAAGTATGTCACCAAATAAAGACATAAAAGAGGCAGAAATTATAAAAAGGACAAAACAGAAAATCTAAAATTAAAGAGTACAATAACTAAAATGAACATTTCACCAAAAAAGTCCATTCAACAGCGGAGCTGAGTAGGTGGAAAAAAGAGTGAAGCAACTAAGATAACATGTCCATTGGGACTGTGCAGTGAGAAACAGAAAGAAAAAAATAATAACAAACAAATGAACCATAGGACATCAAGCTTACCAACATATGCATAATGAGAGTACAGGACAGAGAAGGGAGACACAAAGGGTCTAACACAATTTTTGAAGTAACAGTGGCCAAGAGGTTCCAAAATTTGAAGGACATGATTAATCTATACACTCCAAAAACTCAACTAAAAGTAAGATCATCTTGGAGAAAGAAATCCACACCTGGATACATTATAATCAAAGTTTTAAAACAGCCAAAGACAGAGATAATCTTGAAAGTCACAAGGGAGAAGCAACCTATCATATTCAAAGTGGATTTGAAATGAGAAACCATGAAGAACAGAAGGCAATGGGATGATATATTTAAAGTCAATAGGACAAGAGGAGATGATGAGTCCATGGAGATGGCAGCAGGGGAAGGACAGGCCAGTGGAAAGTATCACTCACAGAGAAACATTCCAGGACAGAATGAGAAGCAGAGGCAAGTGGTGAAGAAAAGTCAAGTAAGGAAAGGATAAGACAATGCCCACTGGATTTGATTAAAAACCAGTAGGCCACTGGAAGCCACAGGCAAGTGGGAAGAAAAACCAAGACATCACACAGACATTTGAAGTTGAATGCAAAGTGTGGAGACATCTGAAAAAGAACAGAATTTTAAATCATCTGCTAAACAACTGGAGTATCATGGAAACTCAGAATATTTATGGAGTGTGATTTTTAAAGACATTCAGTTGATTCATTGCAAAAATGTCTAATTTAACCCAGTGTTTAAATTCTTGAGAAGTGAGTAATGAGTGAGTTAGTGCTCAACATGACTTTTTTACTTCTATAGAGGAAAAAGTAAAGAAAACATTCTATGCTATATAATGAGTTATCATTAAATCACCTCCTTGTAGAACAACAATTACATCAGGTTATCTTCATCTTTATATCTCATGAGGAATCAGTTTGCTTTATTTTTCTCATCAATGTAAACTGTTACATAATGTCTGATCTTCTGCCAAAGTAATTAAAACCACAGAAATAAATGTGGAGCTCAATTTGGTAAATATGTACCCGCAAAAGACCTGCATCTATCTACCACATGCCACCTTTGCTCTTCTAGTCTTCTGTATTTCTGTATCTTCTATGAATGTGTCTGACCCATTTCTGTCTCTACTTTTCATATTAAAATACAGATACATAAATCCTTACAAAATCTTTAAAAAGCCCTTATAAAAGTTTGTAAAACAAGCTGAATATTAAGAACCAAACTTACCTCAGCCACGTTCATTTTGTGCTGCTCCTGGAAGAGAGTAGAGGCCTGTGAAGGTTCACCTGGAGAGGAGGAAAGAACAAGGGGATCATGAGAGACTTGGTCTGCCTTAGAGTTCCTTTAGAGGAATTCTCAATGATTACAATTACAATGGTTTTACTGGTACGCAATCCCATCATGATCGAGACATGTCTGCATTCACCTGCCTAAAATTCTCATCACACCCAACTGGAGAAAAGGTTTCCCAATGGGGAATGTCACTATGACTCTTAAAAAGGGACAGAAGGACCACACAAAGGTAGCAGCACTTGAACACATTCATCTCTGATATTAAGTCCACTTAACCTTGCATTTTTCACTGGGTGTGGTAAAAACTGTATTTTGTTAATTTAGTAACAATTTATGCTCCTTGTGACTACCTGACAAATTTGTAAAAATAATACAACAGAAGATTAACTTCACATGTTCAGGTACACAGAAGTGAAACCCTCTATCCTCTTTCAACATAATATTCCCCCAAAAAAACAACTCAGGCAGGATTAGTAAGCAAATTCTTACTGTCTTTAACCCTGAGTTAGAGTTTCCACAGAAAACTCTAAAATAAAGATGAAATGTTGTATACAAGAAATATGTTTTTCAACCTTTTGCTCAATAATGGTTACTGATTCTTAAAAAAGACCTTTTGATAAGATGCTTATGACACTCACCTGTGTGTGAAGAGCACAGTGCTTAGTTCCTGGGTCTGCCCTAGGTGACTATACACAAGTCATTAATTTCAGGCCCCATAAGAGGAGGAATCCAAAAAGCCCCAGAATTTATTTATTTAAAAAATGGCGTACTTATTCTTACATGTTCAAACTTCAGTCACCCTCAAAGAACTCTTCGTTTGATGCAAGAAACCTATCGAGACACTTTTTTCCACTGCTCAAAACAGTTTCTAGACTCATCAATTTTGGTGCTTTTTAGTGCTTCTGCTGTTTTTTGTTTCACCTCTTCCACACCCACAAGATGTTTCCCTTTGAAGATTTTTTCCCAGAGAAACAAAAAAGTCACTCTGGGTGAGATCAGGTGAATAGGGAGGGTGGGGTATGGGGGTCATGTCATTTTTGGTCAAATACTGATGAATACTCAGGGCTGTGTGGGCATGTGCATTCATAAGCCACCATAATGAAATGGGCAAATGTGTTAAGTTGCAAAAAAAAAAAAAAAAAAAATTATAAAAACTGAAGCCGAACACAGCCTCTCACAATACTGCTAGCTGGTACACTGATGCTGGTGGGTTCCTAGAACACTTACAGGGAAAAGCCTGTACTACAAGGGGTCTGCCCTCTAAAAGATAACTGATTTTTTTGGGCTGGGTCCCCCTCATATTTTGGGTTTTCCAGCATAAAAATCTCTCACCCTCTGGTATCATTTGTTATTATCTATGTTCAAGAAAGGAGTGTCAGCATAAGTCTAAATGCCACATGTAGTAATGAACGTGGTGTGACAGCTACTCAAAGTGCAGAAAAAGTAATGGGAAAATGAAGAAAATGGGGTGTCATTTAGGATTTTGTCAGCTGACTACATTTTCTCTGGACACCATGGCCTCCCCAGTCCTCTAGTAAAGTACCTTTTTCTCCTCAGCTTGACAGTCAACCCTCTCAACCCCATGTCACCATCTTCTGCAAGTTAGTGCACATCATCCCTGGTGACACAGTCTGTAACAGCTCCTGAATGTGGTAACATTATAAGTCTTACTCATGCTACGCAGGGAACCAAGAACTGACTCAGGTGAGAACTTGCGCCTTTCTAGAATCTTCTGCCTCTGCCCTGAAGCCCTGGAACAGGTTTCTGTCAAACAGGCTGTTCTCAGTGGCAGGACCTGGCATGGACTCTGTCCTTCCAGCCTCTTGTCACAGTTGCTGTCTTTCAGAATGGCTGGGACTTGGGCCTAAAAAAAAAATTCACTTTACCTGAAACTTATCTAGCACCCTAAGCCTGACTCTTTGGGAATTCACCAGAAACGTGCTATCCAATACTGTAGCCATTAGCTGCATGCAACCACTAAACACCTTGAGTGTGGCCAGCACCAGGAGTCAAGATAACATTTTGAATGCAATGACTCAAGGAAAACACATCAGCAAAACTGGCTATGCCGGCCTCTTCTGCCTGTAGCTGCTAAAAAATTCTAAAGGAGGCTTGTATTTTTCATCAATTTTCTACTGGACATCACCGCCCCCGAATAGGAATCTGTGCCCTTGAGGGGAGAGGCAGCCTCAACCGTGCTGGAGGGTCCAGGAGCCTCAGTCCAAACCATGGAACTGGAGACTGCACAAATCTCAGGGCAGAGTTACCACTTGGTGAGATCTGTCCACGTTCACTTCACGGTCACGTAGGGAGATCTGAGCACTGACCCCTCTGAATAAGTGCTCCCAAGGTTTCAGGGAAGTCTGCTATCAGGAAGAGCAAGAGACAGGGAGTCAAGCCCACCTGGATGCGCCTTCTACCCTCTCACCTCCTAGCTTGTTCCCTGGGGTGTCAACCCTCGTGAAATCCCCTGCACTGCAAAATAAAAATAAAAATAATATGGCACGTGTATAACGACCACCAGGGTCGCTGTGAGGGTTCAATGAACCG